AATTGAATTTAAAAGCGAAATAGCGGTTCGTACGTAAGATAGTAGTAAAAGTACGTACGTCCGTAGTAAGGGCTAATTTTAATAAGGCGGAGGGGGTAATTAAAGTAATTTTAGAATTAAACGGGGGGGAGAAGCCAGCGAATTTATTAAAAAAGGAAGTAATAAATATAGTTATAAAAATAAAAATACGAGAGGGAAGAAGGAAAAAGCGGAAGAAATAGGCGAAAGGGATATTATATAAATAAAAGAGGAGGTTTTTATACGAATATAAATTAAAGTAGATAAATATAAATTTAGGTAAATAAATATAAAAGGAGGTAAGGTAAATAAAATTTTAAATAATAATATATTATAAGGGAAGGAGTAAATAGGAGAGAATAAAACGAATATAAATAGTAGGGAGAAAGGAATAAGACGAATAGGTAGTAATTATAAATATAGAGGATTAGGAAGGAAGGAAATAAATAGAAGGTATATATTTTAAAATAGGTTAGTAGAGTATAGTAAATAATTAAGGATAATAGAATTAGAATAGAAAGTATAATAATAAGATTAAATTAAGGATAAAGGGCGGAATAATTAAATATGTACTATATAAACGAGAAATATTCGTAGAAGAAAGGGAATATAGGATTATAGAAGGTATAGATATTTCGGAGAGTAAGGGAATAAATAATTAAAGAGAAGAGTACGGATATTAAAATCGAAGGAAGGGAATAGAGGTTCCGTAAATAGAATTTATAAAGGGGGGGGGTTATATTAAAATGCTTTAGGCCTTCTAATATTATAATACTAACGTTCGTAATCCGACTAACCTTATTAAGCGAGGGTTTTAAGTAACCGACGATAGTAGTTAACTATAATTATTATAATTAAATTATTAATGCTTTAGGCGAGGGTTTTAAATAATTAATAATAATAATTATTAATAATTATTGCGGTTAGGCTATTAATACTTTAATTCGTCCTTTAGTATTTTTATATAATAATTAACCCAAACCAGTTAATTATAATACTTTAAATTCTTCGGTATTATAATACCAATACTCTCTATTACTTTACTAAACTTCTACTTAGAAGTATTATACCGACTGACGCTTTTTTATACTTTACTAAACTTTTGCCTAGAAATATTATACTAATTAATATTCTTTAGCATTTCGCTAAGCTTTTACCTAAAAGTATTATACTAATTAACGCCCTCTCGCATTTTACTAAATTTCTATCTAAAAGTACTATACTAACCGACGTTCACTATTATTATAAAGGTTCCGAAGATAGAACTTATAAGGGGGGGGGTTATATTAAAAAGCTAAAGGGTAACCGCTAGGGAAGGAATACTATAGCGCTATAATATTAACGTTTTATTTTATTTAATTAAACTCTTATTTAAAAGTATTACGGCGGTCGGTGCCTTCTTTCGCTTAATTAGTCTTCGGTTTAGTAGTATTAAAATATTTAATAAAATAGGTTCGCGGGAAGGATAATCCGGCGCTATATTGGGGCAGTACGCTAATATAGGATGTTATAATTTTTAATTACAATAGAATAGAGTTTATATTAGTATAAAAGAGGTTCGAAGGAGCTTCGTTCTTTATAGTTGGTAACTATTAATATATTTTTAAATTGACCCCTAACTTACTATTCCCTATGTATAGCTACGATTATAGTTACTTCAGCCTACCTTCCTCCTACGTCTTAATACAATAGAGCGTCCCTATTAGGTGACCCGATTTAGCAACGGTAGGTTAGTTTATATAAGAGTACTATAATTTGATTTATTAATTAACTTACGTAGGAATTTTTAGGGTTGGCTTATTTAATACTATTTTTAATTGTAATTTAAGGATATTTAGGGGTATAAATATTCAATAAGTAGAGGTAAAAATCTAATTTATTAAAAACTAACTATTATAAAAGTATTTACTAAGGATATTTTTATTAATTAAGAATAGTAAACTATTATAAAAATATTTATTTAAAATATATTTATTAATAATTAGGGCGATAGGAAATAATCCAATAGGGAATATAAATAGTATTTTACAAAGGAAACTTAATTTTATCTTTTAGAGTAATTTAGTATATAGTTACCCTACAGTCTACTAGGGTATTAATACTTTATATATTTAACCCCCCTTAATTTTAATTAGATTCTATCTAATTAATAATTTAAGAAGAATTATTTAGTACTAGGAAGTACCTTATAAGTATTAACGGTTAGCCTATCGATTTAAAATATAATTAATAGCTATATTAGACTACTAGTAGATTTTTGGGGCTGGATAAAGACTATTGTTAAATAAAAAGTATCTTACAAAGGAAACTTAGTCTCATTTTTTGGAGTAATTTAGCGCATGGTTACCCTACGGTCTACCGGAGTATTAATACTTTATATATTCAACCCCCTTTAGCTTTAGTTAAATTCTATTTAATTAATAATCTAAAAAAGATTATTTAATATTAGGGAGTACCCTATAAGTATTAACGGTTGGTTTATCGATTTAGAGTATAGTTAATAGCTATATTAGACCGCTGGTGGATTTTTAGGGTTAAATAAAGACCGTTGTTATTAGCCTATTGACTTGGAGCATAATTAGTAACTATATTAGACTGCTATTAGATTTTTGGGGTTGGATAAAGACTATTATTATTAGCCTATCGACTTAGAATATAATTAATAGCTATATTAGACTACTATTAGATTTTTAAAGTTGGATAAAGACTGGTTAGATAAAATAAATAATTATTTTAGAACTTACAACTCTAATCTCATTAATAAATAAACTAGAATTATAAAATCTAATTTAATTAAAGATTAACTTTCTTAAACCTAAATCTATCGACGGGTAGTAAAGGGATTAAAAAAATTAAAGCCTTAAATTAACCTATTTTTACCTTATTACTTTAAGGGTACTTATATCCTTAGAATAAACTTCTAATTATTATTTTTATATATATTACGCTACTAGGTTTTTACCCTACCAGGGGGTCTCTCTAGTAGGGTTTTTTTCCAGATGTAGGTGGTTTTTTAATAGAAAACGTATCCTAATTACTATATTAGTACATTAAGAAATTTCGAACCCCGGAGGGAGTAGGAGGGTAGTTCTCCTACGCTGTTAGGATAATAGTTTGCGAACTGTTACTTGAGGGTGCGGGGGTTACTAATCCCCTATAAAAAGTTAAATACTTATATTAATATAAGTTATTTAAACTTTTTCTTATCATTATTTCTTTATTATTATTTTTATTATTCTTATTTCTTTATTATTATTTATTTTTATTCTTATTCCTTTATTATTATTTATTTTTGTTCTTATTTCTTTATTATTATTTTTTTATTATTATTAATTTTTATTTTTATTCCTTTATTAAATTTTTTTTAAGTTTTTGTTTTTTTCTTTATTATTATTATTCTTATTTTCTCTTATTTAAAAGATTTCAATATTAATATTTAGTATATATAGGTAATAAAAAACTACGTGGAATTTTACTTTAAATTAAGTAGGCGGGATTAGAAGTTTAGAATTAGGGCTGGCCGGGTAGTAAGTAACGGAACTATAGCCGGCCGGGTAGTAAGTCGCCGGTTTAAATCCGGTACGGATCTTTTTTCTTTTACTTTTTTCTATTACTATCTTCTAATAATAGCTTTATATCTTCTAGAAACGGCTTCATATCTTCTAGAAACGGCTTTATATCTTCTAAAAATAGTTTTATATCCTCCAATATAAAATACAAATTCAAAGTAAAGAAGACTAAATTAAAAAGCTTAAAAAGAAACTGGGTAAACTTAAAGACCAAAAAGCGAGAGTATTATAGTAGATTATGGGGAAGCTATAAATAGCGTAATAACGATTCTATTAATAATAGTACAATAATAATCCTATTAATAATAATAACGATAGCGATAATAATAGCGATAGCAATAGCGATAGCGGCAACGATAGCGGCAATAATAGTAATAAATACGGCTCGGATTCCGAAATATCCGACTTAAATAATAAGGAAAATTCTAACCCTAAAACCGGCGAAGAGAAAAAGCTTTTAATAAAAGAGGATATTAAAATTAAGATAGCTTCTTTAAAAGATAAAAAAGAAGAAGACTCGTACAGGTATTAGGGATCTCAAAGATTAGGTAAAAGAAACCCGGACGGCTATTAAGAAGGACTTTACTATAGGAATTAAAGAATTAAATTAAAAAACCGTAATCGAAGAGGACAAGGAGAATTTCAACCCAAATATCAACCTAAGAGACTATAATAAAATTACTAAAACTCTTCTAATTTTCTATATTAATAATCGTATTTTCTAGAAGTTAAGTAGGAGGTTAGTAAGGGACAAGTTTAATAGCGTTAAGTTCCAGTTACTATAGGAAATTAAAATTCCTTAACCTTAAGCCTATATATAAAAACTTATAAAAAATAGCCGGGCTACTAACTATAAAGTAAATATCCTTACTAACCTTTCCTAACTTTTCAACTTACTAAGTATATAAACAACTAATAACAATATACAATTAAATCTAACCAAGGCCTAAATTCGAATTTTATTAGGGCTTAAACCCCCCTAAATTCTAATAATAATTAAAGCCGTTAGCAATTCGCTTCAGAAATATAATAACTTTAGTAGAATATAGTATCCTACAATAAATTTAGTAATTTATTATTTTCATTACTATTTAAGTCTTTATTATTTATTATATACTATTTACCCTTAATTAGTATTAGATTAGTACTTAAACATTCCTCTATCTTACTTTTAAAGGTTTTTAAATACACTAAAAGTAGGTTTAGAAAAGCAATAAAACCCTAAACGTAGGCAGTACAATTAAAATTATTTTCCTTATTTCACTATATAATTTTTAAATACTTTTAGTAAATATTTTACTAAACCTTAGTTATTTAAATAATAATAATAAACTCCCTTCTCTATAGAAATTTATTAACTAAAATTTAAATATCCTTTCTATTTACCTTCAGCGCAATAATAATTTTAAAAATTTATAGGCGTTCTCTAACGAATCTTTTTTATACGTTAGTACTATTAGTATATAGACCTACACTAATAGGTTTAATATATTTTCAGTTAAACTCTCCTACATTATTTATATTATATAGAGCTTTTAGAGCCTAAAAAATTCGGGTTTATAGTAGAATAATATTAAGAATTAAATAAGTAGATTATTTATATTTTTATATACTACTATTACCTTCAATATTATTCCTATAATACCCTTTCCCCGTCTATATACCCTACATTAAATTATTTGTACAACCTACGGCCCTTTACAATTATCTACGTACAAGTACGTTCTATTTCTACTATATTTAGCCCGTATTAGAGATTTATAACTATTTAAAATCTATAAAACTTATTTATTTATAATTTTAAAATCTCTTATATTTATTATTTTTAGATTAGGTTCTTCCTCTTTATATTTCCTACTTACTTTTACCCTTATACTTCCCTAAATTCGTATAATTTAAAGTTATATAATTATTATTCTTCTAATCAGTAAATTAAATAGACTTCTATAAGAATTTAGTAGTAGTTTATAAAATAATAGTACTAAAAATACCTATAAAGCAGCTACTACTTTCTATAAAACCGGTATATATAAGTAATAAATTCCTAATTAAACCTTTCCTATTCGTTGGCAGTTATACGTATAATATTAATATATAATATATTAATATCTTTACTACTTTAATAGAAGCGTCTACCTTCCTTCGCTTCGGGTAGAATTAAAATCTATATTAGTACTAAGAACCGGCTAAATCCGGAGAAAGAAGTAGTATTATAAACCGTTTTAGTATAGAAGTTATTCTATATTTTTGTAGCGCGGTCGAAGTATTATCTATTAATATAGATAATATATTTAATAATACTTAGGAGTGAAAATTATTGTATAATTGCCTTATTCTTATACTTTAAAGTTTTATAGTAGCCTTCTAAGGGGTTAGTTATAAGAATTTAAAAAGTATTAATAATTACTATTAATAAATATTATATTAATACTACTTACTTATAAGTGTAGAGGGGAATATTCTTTAACTTAATTTACTTATAGTTATATTATTTACTTCTAATTCTATTTAATATATTTTTTCAACGGATCCCCGCCTAATAAGGTTACTTTTATTAAACGGATAGATTTAAAATAACCTTTCTCTATCCTATAGTATTTTAATATTTAAATTATATAATTCAAATAAGGCCGGTATATATTAGCGGAAAACTTCTTTCATAGTGTCCGTTCTATATAAATATAGCAAAATAGGTACTAAACCTTAAGACTATCAATATTATGAAAAGCATTTCGAACTACCTTCTATTCAATAGCCGAATTATTAGTAAATATATATTAAAGCGGCTATTCCCGAACGTACCATTCTCTAACCTACCTACAAATTATTAATAATACTTTTACTATTATATTAGTATCTATTTTCTTAATAAGAAAGTAATTATACAGTAACTACTTCCCTTATTTATTCCGAATAAATAGTATATAGAGGTACTAACTAAACTAATTTATATTATAAATAGTATTTATAAGTATAAGGAAGCTGCGCCGTTATAAAGCTTTAAATTATTTAAATAAAACCTATATTATACCCGAAGATTTTCAGCCGTCTATTTTATAAATAATAATAATAGATACAATAAATTAAATTATTGCTTCTAATTCAATTAGGTTGGGGTATTGTAAGGTAAAATATTCTAATATTTACTCTATTTAAACGTCCCTAGCAAAGTTATTACCTAATATTCGCCGTAGGTCGGAATATTTCTTCCGCTACGTACGGCTTACATTAATAATATTTTATTTAATAAATTAATATCCGCTTACTTTATATAATACCTTCTTAAGCTTTATATTTCAACTATAGCTACTATATAGCTAATTATAAAAAGTAGTGGTAAATATACTACAATTAACTTCTTTAACTACGTACGTCCGAATATTCTCTAGAATTTTACTCTTATTTAAAAATACTAGAGTATAATTATAGGAAGAATTATCCAACCTTAGGGTTTTGGAAGTATAGGGCGTAGTAAATAATTAAAAATTTATTAATCCGTTTAGGAATATTATTTTACGAATACTTTTCGGATATTTAATTCCAACGCAAATTAATTTCGTCCGTAACCTAATACTTCCCTTACTATTATATTTATTCTTACTATATAACCAATAATATATAGTTTGAACGTTAATTTCCATTAGAGTACTAAATAGATTGTAAAATAATTATTTACACCCCTATTTAATATTAATAAAAATTATATTAAAAAATAGTTAATAATAAACCTACTCCTCTATAATATAGTCTATTTTCTTATTATATAGAAAGAAAGCTATCTAGTATTTATTAAAATCTATTGGATTACTAAAAAGATTATTGATATTGGGTTCGGTAAAGAGAATTAGAATAGTAAATTCAATAGGGGTAATAGGTTTAACGGGAGTAGCGGGAGTAGCGGGAGTAGTAGGGTCGGTAGGGGTAATAAAGTTAGTAGGAGTAATAGGGGTAATAGGAATAACGGGAATAATAAGGGTAACGGAAGTAATAGGAGTAGCGAATTTAATAGGCTTAGCGGGCTTAGTAGGCTTAGTGGATTTAGCGGGCTTAATAGGTTCAATAGGAGTAGCGGGAGTAGTAGGAGTAGCGGGGTCGGTAGGAGTACCGGGCTTAGTAGGAGTACCGGGTTTAGCGGGAGTAGCGGGAGTAGCGGGAGTAGCGGGAGTAACGGGGGCATTAAGCTTAGCGTTGGACTTAGTGTTGGATTCAGCGGGTAATTCGATTATCTTTAAAATAGAAATTAATTTTTTTAGTATCTAAATTACTATTTTTCTTTTTTTACAACCTTTTTACCTTATCTTCCCTTTCAATATTAGGGCCTAATAATACTTAAATAAATTTAGTACTATTACCGCCAATAAGGTTATTTTAATCTATTAATAATAGTAGCTCTTCTTTATCTATTTCGAATACTAGTAATACTCGATCGAATAAAATATTATCGAAAAAATTAGGAAGGAGGTCTATAAAATCGATTTCAACGTCCCATAATCAAAAAATTTAATTGTAGTTAACTACAAAATCCATTTTAATAATATTAGTAATAATATTCGTAATATTCATAATAATAATTTCCTTTAATATTATTTAATAAAAGAACCTTTAAAAAGATACGTTCAAAAGGTAAATCAATTCATCCAATCTCTATACATTTTATTCTTTTTTTCACCAAATAACTTAATTACTACTATACTATTAATTTTACACTACTAAAAAACTTATTATATTATAATACTAATAATTTAACGAAAATAATAACAAATTCAAAACAAACAACGGAAATCTCTTTATAAATAGAATATCTATATACAATTCAATTTGTATTATAGTACATTGAATATTAGTATTGTACCATTATATTATACTATTGCCCTTCAATATTCGGTTTGACGCGTTTCTACTACAATACCTTAACATTTTTCAAGAATCTAGAATAAAGAATGGAATTTTTATCATTGTTTTTTTTTATTTGACTCTACTAGGGCGGTACTACCGCCCAGGCGGCGCTCTCCGAAATCAGAGCTGCGCGGGTGGATTCAAGAGGTACGTATCATCATGTCTTCCGGATATGCGTTGCCGTCGCAACAGAAAGAACGACCCAGCATCTGAAGCGATCGTCCAATCCTCAATCGTCATTCACGGTCTCACCCGACTCGCTGCTGGCGCAGGTAGCCCTCGGGGCGGGGTTCGACCGCTGCTGGCGTGGTGAAATCCTGCAGCTGGTACGGGGTGTTCCAGGTTGTCACAGCTGCCCGTCATCTGTTTCACGCCAGCCCGATCCTTTTTCTTCGTCGCGACATCACTTGACGACGGCGTCCACTACACTTGCATCAGACCAACCACAACCACACCCAACCCTTGGAGGTTGAGCCGCTTAAGAGGACGGGACGGAACTTGGACGTGATCCGCCAAGTGTTTACAGCTTTACTTTGTTTTCTGTCCCGTTTCTGCTCTTTCTCTTGTACATGACGGACGGTTGAGATGCCCATTGAAACAAACCACCAACGGCAGACCTGGCTGACCATATGGAAGCTACTATTTTCATACCTCTGTCCTCGACGGAGCTCGAATCTCGGTAACCCATCCTCCCCAATCTTCGTGACCAACAGAGAGAAACTTTGAGATAATTCAGTGCTTGCTTGTGAATACAAAGCCCACGGAACACACGTTCTTCACTGACAACAGCAAAGATGGTCCGTATAATTCATCTCATTCACATTCATAAACAGCTACATACACTACTTTACAGAATGGAACCTACTAGCACCTGATGCGGCCAGGGCACCCATCCCAACCCCTTCTTCCCACTCGCTTGGCAGGCCCTTGTCCTGTCCCTGCACCCCGCGGTGTCGTTCGTTGATATCAGTGGTCGATGTCGTTGTCCAGCTGTTCCAGGCTGAACCAGGTTGCCAACCTCTCCTCCCCCCCCAAGAAAAAGTTAAAAAAAAAAACCATCTTGACCTGACGGCCATCTGCATTCTTTCGTCATATCTTCCCTTCTCGGATCGTGAGCAGTCAACGTCAAGTGTCCATGTACGCTTGAGTCAACATTCAGGTCTCATCTGGGTCGGCCTAGATTTCATTCGGCTGGCAAACTTCCTCTCCAATCATATGAACCATCAAATTCACTTCGTCTTGTTCGTTCTGCCAACATCCTCGTATTTTCCCCTATGCGTATTGGGATAGCTCGAAGTCGCCAGTCGGTATGGATGCTCTTCGGTACCCACCTGCGTGCTCAGCAGGTCTTGAAATGACCTTGCCGTAGGCTATGCAAATTGGACGAGTCGCTTCGAGACTGGCCCAACACACATACGAGTTGGGACTTTGAGAGCTGCATCAACAAAAACACCTGGCCCTTCCCATGGGGTTTCAGGTATGTCCGTTGTGCATCTGCGGTGAGGCTCCGATATCAAGGTTTTTCTTTCTTTCTTTCTTTTTTCCTTTTTTTTTGTTGTTGTTGTTCCCCTAGACCTCGTCTCCCGACGAATTCTATAAGACGTCCGGCTGATATACGAGGCATGGTTACCAAGTGTTTCTGCCGACCGCGGACTTCCTCGAATCTACCTCCATATCATTTGGAAGAGCTCAGGTGGGTTTGAGTGTCCTTCGAGTTGCTGGAGCGTTGCCAAGAAACGGTACAAATTCGACTCTCTGTCGAGGGTCTCCGGGTACTGGTACCGTATCCGTACAGCATCACAAAGCCTGCGAACGCAGGACCGTCTCTTTCAGACACACCACAGTGTGAAGCATGTTGCTGAAGCTATATCTCCCTCTGCATCAAAGGCCATCTTCGAAGCACCTAATCACCGATCTTGGGAGTGGTGATTGTCGACAATCATGCCCCTGAAAAGGTGGTAAGAAGTTGTGGTGCGTCTCGTCCAACATGATGGGGCTGTTTTCGTAGTAGGGGCTGCTCGCGCCGTCCTCTGACTCTCTACTGAGATGATGCTATCGTCGAATTGACGACCCGTACATCCTTTCGAGGAAATACTGATATCTTCCGTATTGGATATCGACCCCTCTCATTGTGTTGTTCCTTCTTCTTTCCGTACTATGTCGTATACCTTCAACTCTTTGCTGACTTCCAGTCTTTCATTTCAAACTGGTTGTTTAGCGGTCTTGAGAGATCTCGTTCGATATCTGTTTCGACCGACCTGTCCATAGTGCTGCTGCTTGTCGGCGGTATCGCCAGGATGCTCTGGTCGCTTCTGTTCCTGTACTTTCTTTCGTCCCAGTCGGATCGGGCTCGACGTGCTGATGCCCCCGCGGATCTACTACTTTCGACGGCTACATCGATGCTCGGCTGCGATGGAGGGTCAAAGGTGTGAAGGAACAGAGCCCTCAGAGTGGGTATTGAGGCAGCCATCATGGCGCAAGCCCCCTCGACAAGGGCACAAACAACCAGAAGGAATCCCTCGTCTATTCCAAGGGTTAACAGGATTCTACACCAGAGAATCGGAGGCTTGTGTGTGGGAATGGGAGAACTTACAGCTGAAGTCATTACTCACTATGCGGCCGATTGTCGACACCTTGATGGCACCCGCGATTCCGGCACTGTGAGGTTCGTCATCCGGTTAGCAGAGCTCCTATAGGATTCTTATAGTCCTGAAGGTTGGGGCTCTTTCACATACAAAACCCCCATGCTCATGGCTATAGCCACGCCAACCTTTTCGCCGCGGTACATATGGAATCGCATAAGAATTCGCCACGGTAGAAGCGCAAGCACGAAGTCACACACTGCTGAGTAAACTAGAGAAAAGTAGTTAGTAAATTTTTTTTGGGGTGGATTAGCGTGTTTGGGTCAGATGATACTCACTTCCAAGAGCAATCGAGTAGGCGAGGAGGCCGTCGGGGGACCAGCATTTCTTATTCATGATACTAGAGTTCCATGTCGCCTCGGGGGGCTCGCACAGAAGCCAAAACAAAAGGGCGGTGCTGACTTGGCATAGCGTCAAAGTGATGATGATGAACCAGACGAGTCGCTTCAGCCAGCCATCCGTGATTCGAAGAAGCGTCACGGCAAAGGATACTTTGCTGAACAGTACGTGGAGAACCGATGTGGTGCCATTGATACCGCCGATAATAGACAGGTACTTCTCGTTTTCCGCGGGTACAGCATCAGTGTGTAGCCCGTATCCTATCAAGACGGAGGTAGAGGTGAAAACGGTGTTTACGAAGAGTAGGGCCTTTGTGATGAAACTGTGTCAGCTGATCTCCTGTGGTGAAAAGGTCTTTCCCAATACCAAGAATGGCCGGTTGGATAATCATTACCAAGGGGGGGAACCAAGGCAAAGAGTATGAAGTTATTGAAAAAGATATGGATGAGTGACGTACCCAAGCTACTATTAACAAGTGATCATCCCACCAAAGGCAGCGGCCACGAATGACCTTGCAGTACAAGCGAAGGCCTACGAAGATGGTGCAGGCGGCGTGAATACTCCAAAATATAGCCAGCAACGCCGCTCCCTGAGGGTTGGAAGACGGAGGAACGTAAACTGTCATCGCTCAGCGGCTTTGAGGGGAGCCGCTGAAGCACATGAAGGTACAAACGGTGCCGATGGGGACCAGCTGCTAGCGGGAGGGCCGAGGATGGCCCAACGCACGGGGTTTTGCTGTCGACAAGAACGAGAAGATCCGTTGATATTTTTATGATCAGAATCGAGGCAGTGGATCCACCATGATAGACATCTCTGAGATGTATAAAAGTCGCCGGTTGAGAGCCAAAGGAAGATATGTACGCTCTTGTCGATATCTGTATCTCTTTCCTAGTCGTTGGACTGTCGTCAAGCTGAGAATCGAAATTAAAGTGTTCGGCAATGACTGTTGCTCAAGGGCCTCGAAGTTCGTAGTGTTTTATTGTTGGGTTGGGTTAACTGTCCGGAGTTTGTGGAAATGGAATGGGTGGTGGTCGTCAGGGTATTAGGCTCGATGGTCGTGGTTGAGTGAGAAATGTTGCGCCCAAGAGTGGAGAGATCTAAAATGAGATAAAGTCGGAAGAAGGGCGTTATCCCCGTTCGTCCTGAATTGGATGCCTACCAGCCAACTCGAACTGGAAGGGGCAAGACAGGACGTAGAACACGACCAAAACAAGAGGGTAGGGGGTGACGAGTGTGTAAGCGTTAACCCGGTGATTTGGGGTCCGTGATTTGACCGTTCATCAACTGCTGGGTTAAGCCAGGGGCATGGTGTTGTTTTTATCTTGTCAACAACGGCTTCTCCTGACTCGTCTAGGCCCAGAACGCCAGCCCGCACCTGTCTGGCCCCTGACCTTGCTTAGTTCGACCGAGATCTCCTCAAGGCCAGGTCAGTTTGGGGTTGGGGGTTTGCTTCCGCCCATCAAAGCCCACAGGGCACCATCATGAATTTGCCTGGGTGATTCCGCAGTCTCGCCAGTGTATCTCGATGCGAGGATGTTGCGGAGCGGAGCGGGGTGGGTGCAACAGTCTGAACTAAACGTAAAAAGAAGGTAAGAAGAAAGAGAGATGTCCGCTGAAGGAGGCCCCTGGTGTCCCTGGTGTCCCACTCCCTCGGGGCTGGAGATACGATACACTTCTGCACGGGTAGTAAATGTTAGCTCCGGTTTTTGCGAGTGGCAAACAACCTTGATTTTTGCACAGGAAATGGCTATCTGGTCGTCTCTTTGCTCTCTGTTTTTTGTGAGGCGGCTGTATCCAGCTAACGTTTGATATCCATGCAGAGGTGTACAAGCGATGCTCTGTGATCCATGCCACCGCGGACGTCTCTAACTCCTCTTGTCGTCATTCCTAGCGCTCGCGCTCGTTGCTTGCGTGCAGTTCGCCAAGGACGAAACGCCAGCTTTTTTTGTTCGAGCCATGTTGGTGGTTCCCAAGCTCTGGCAGCCAATGGGATCTTTCCGCACTCCTGACCGGGAATAACCACTTGGGATTTGGGGGACGGGGACGGTGAGGCCACGGTGAAGTGCTAGGAGCTTCCTTGCGCGTTACAGCGGACCCTCTGTGAATATCGGGGAGTGCATATTCCGAATATCTCGCCGTGCCTCATCAGGTGGTGGTGTAGTGTAAAAACTAGTCTCGGACACGCTCACACCAAACACATCCAATGTCCGGACTCGGTATATTCACACCACCTGCTAGTGTATGTTGGAGACGATCGATCTCTTGTGTAACATATGCTCCCACCTGTTGTTCTTTGGTACTCATCCCATCCACCACTTGCTCCTAGTGCAGTGGGATCGGGGCGAGACGAGACATGGACGGCGAAACAACCATGATGTCGAATTGAATCTACTTGCCTAAGTCCGCCATCGCCGTACACGCCCAAGAAAAGTGTCTGGCGTACTAGGCGGAGATCAGGAGGTTAGCTAGTAATAGGACAGCATGAGATAGCACCGATCGTGGGCGATGACAAACGCATCTACCGGTGAGCGACCTTCGTGAAATGAAAGATGGAGTCGCTGAATAGCGGGATGCGAGTTGTCGGGGATTATCGAATATCTGCCGTTCAGGCGCGCAACAATTCACTTGACATTGGATGTTGTTCCATGCCTGCAACGTTGAGATCCACATCTCCGGATCACGTGAGACCTAGCACTTCCCCAGTTTTCAGCAAGGATCTTCCTTCGGGGTTCCCCTCTTCGTTTCTTCTTTCCTTCTCTTGACTAGGCCAAATCAACAACAACAAATCCAATTCATCCATCCGCCTTTCAAGCTTCAACTCAACTGAAGCGCAAGGGCATTGTTGACCGTGAAGGAGAAGGAGAAAGCCAAGCAAGGTTCAAGGAGGTCCCGTTTGTGTGTTCCGCTGCCGGTACCAAACCGAGCTTTACCAGTTTGACAGTCGCTACCACAAGCAAAGAGAGCGAACCAGAAGGCCTGAAACGAAGGATCAACTGATTAAAAGCAACAAACATTACGGAAGGCGGCGTCCTGCCGCGCGGCACGTTCGGGTTTGCAGAAAGTGAAACTAATGGATAGATGTGCCAATTCTGTCACGTGGATTACCTACCTCTACCTCTAGAGATAGCTGTGATGGGCGGTGATTTCCATGGTTGTCGCTGCCACATTGAGACATATGTCAATAGATGAGGTCGGACCTGTTGATGGTCGGCGGGAAGAGGTAAGTGGGTTAGCACAAGCTATATACACATAGGTGCTGAAGTTCACCCAGGTCCTCCGGCCGGCCCCGGCGACCAGTGCGTCCGTTGCTGTTACCTAATGTTTACGCTTCAATTTTGTTGACATCAAGAGGTTCAGGTGCCATACACCTATACCTTGATCACTCCAAGTGTTCAATCACCGTCCTAAACAAGTACTATCTGAACGAATACGACAAAGAGCCTTAGCTCGGGGCCAGCTGAATGAAAGTTCAATTAGACTCCAATCACACTACATTGGAGCACAGTGATTGGAACCACGCTATATAGTGTAGGTATGGAGCTTGAACCCTGATCGCTTCCACCTCCGCCGGCATTTACACGCAAAAGGTTAGCGCGATGAACTGCAAAGTGGCGATAACTGTAATCTCCGTACAATAGATGGCGGCATTGCTCGGCTCCAATCTCCCTAAATGTTGTAGTATAGCAGTACCGCGCTAACAATGGCATCATATGCCGGCCGAGATGTACTGCGACATGCGTAGTGCTGACGTTAAGGTACTCCCACAAACTGCCGTGTTGGCCCCTGATGAACTGAAACCCGCCCCGATGACACCTTCTCCAGCGGGAGCCAAGGCCCATGGGGAAGTAGAAAGTACAACCTCAACACCTCGACGGCGGCCTGGCGCTCTGGCAAAAGCAAAAAATACGACAAGAATAACCACAGCACTCAAACAAGGGGGTGAGGCTATCGTGTCTGATCTCAAAATTGATGAACATCGCTTGGAGATCAGCACACGATCACAAACAACGATTCTGGAGGTCGGGGGCTCAACAAAATCGCGTGAGTACAGATACCTGCCCACGCCGATCTCTAACCGCGATAACAAAAGAAGACACAATTGTCTCAGTCGGGTCTTCCCGTCCTCTTCGGCGATGCTCATCAAGGTGGGTAATCAGCTTGCATCCGAAGCCCCAAGCCATGTCTTGACTTTGGCAAGATAACCACCTCGAACGCCATCCACAGCACCAAGGTCTGTAGCATGAGCGATCTTCGTGTGTATTCCATCGGCATCGCAACCTTTAGTGTTTTCGCGCGCACTCGGATTGACGGCAGATACGTCGCCGATAGTTGACTGGATCAACGCCTTTCCGGCGCCCGATTTCTCTTCTCTTGGTGCCTCTGTCGATCCTCCTTTGTTATCATTGATGATGGTTGAGTCGTTCACCTTTTGGGAGACAGGGGGGCTGGACGGCAGAGTCAGGGTATCGGATCTCTAGTCCGATGCATCGTCACCTCCGTCCTCTTCCTCATCTTCCTCATCCTCCTCCTCCTCCTCCTCATCCTCCTCCTCCTCCTCATCATCATCATTACTGTCGCCATGACCACCGCTGCCTCCACCACTTTCACTTGCCGATTCTAGCTGCTGGTTGTCATTGTCAATCGGCACATATAGCAAAGATGAGCCGTGCGTCGGCGCCACCATGAAGCTGCTGTGGGTGTGATTTGTGGGATCTGGCTGGGGCTGTTGAGACGCATATTGTTGAAGAAATGCCGGATGTATTGGTGCTGATGTCGACATAGCCCGGGAACTGGCAAGGTTGGAGCCCGTTTGATGATCTTCCCGATGCGGAGGCGATGTTGAGTCTCCTGATCTTGATTCCGGTGCAGATCTATAGGTTGAGAGCTTTCTGACCTTGCCGGCTCCCGAGGGTTCTGTCTGAGTTGTCGGTTCTTTCCCTTCGTTCATTTCTGCGTCATCTACCTCAAAAGGCCGCTTTTTATGCTCAACATGGGGCTGAGGATCGAGGTCCTGGCCCATGGTTTGTTCCTGTTGCTGCTGCCATGCCACAAAGGCAGGATGAATAAGAGGTGCGGGAGTTGATTTGAGGTCCTCTACCACCGCTGAAGATATTTTGACGGCTTCCGATGCACGCGTCAAAGCATTTGATGCAAAGTTCATCAACTCATTCAGCTGTACGATTGAAGGCGAGCGGCCGCTACTCTGTGCATCCTCCACCCAGCCGCGGATGTAACCAAAGGACCGTTCCGCGGCCTTAAGCTCGGCAGCGAAATACGCTTGCTGGGACCACTGCTCCAGCTCTGGACACCTTGCCACTACACTTTCCGGGAAAGGTGTGGCCTGGCTGGTGTTGCTAGTCGAAGGTTGTGACTGTGTCGGACAGTTTAGTTCTTCGCTGCTATGCCCGGATACAAAATCAGTCAAAATGGTTTAGCACTTACCGGCTCCTCTTTCTTTGCCTTTGGAGGCCTCGGTTTCCTTTCCTTAGGAACAAGGGCGGGCTTGCCGTTCCCCGAATCCTCAATCCCGGCCATCTGCTTCGCCTCAGGCGGTACTCCCGGCTCTCTGACGACGATATGGTCATGAGCATCGTCCTCGGCCGCGTTCCAAAAGCCATCCAAAGGCCAAGAATCCGCCAGCTTGCGGTTGGCCATGTACCATCTTCTTATCCGCTCCTGCATGGTTTTCGGGACCTGATAGAGGCGAGGGTAGACTGAAACGAAGCCAGCCATCTCTCGCTGGGTTAGATCCACATCCTCTGGGTCGATCCTCTTACTGAACTTTCTCGTGACGGTAAGCGCAGGATACTGCTCTGAAGGCGGCATGAATGGGAAATAAACAAATCCTTGGTGATGGATTCTATCCGCCTCTGCACGACTCTGGCGCGTCATGGTGAGTGACTGTTAATGCTCGTGGCAGTGAAGGTACTCTTGCTGAGGGGTCGCGGATTGTCAGATAATGTTGAGGAACGAGGTGGCAACGACTTAATACGGTAAGTACGCGATTTGCTCTCAGCCAGTCACGTCCAATTTGGTTTGGTGAACTTGAAAGCAGTCGAGGCGCGTTGGAGGTGGTTGAGTGACGCGCCAAAAGAAGGACGCGATCCTTGGGTTGTTTTAGTTTTTTTTTTTTTTTTTCTGGTAAGGAAAAAAGTTAAACCGCGACCGAGGCACAAGAGATGTCTGGCAGCGATTTCCAGATTTGCCTCTCTTGCTAATGGGAGGAGCAAGATGTTGTCTCTCCTAGACTTTGTCGCCTCTATCAATTTCAAATCGGTCGTGTCACGGGCGCCTGTTTGGATGGCCGAGCCTTGGTGCACCACGGTCCAGGTCCGATGGCCTATTCGAATGGGACGAAACAAACCCCAAGGTGAAGACTATTTAGCCAGCGCAATCTGCGGGCAAAAAGGATAGGATCAGTCTAGAGATGATATTCCTCTTGTCTGATGATGAGCTGGACCGAAGTCGAGACTGCCGGCGGGAAGAGTTACATGGCGGTCTGGAAGACTTGACGTCCTGGGTGGCGAACCGACGATAACTATGGGCAGGCAAGGTGTGACGCCCTAAGTCAATCCATCCTCACTTCGGCTTAAGCAGATCGTGAAATGGAATTGCTAACATCGTACAAGTCGGTTGACATCGGTGTGCGAGAGTCCTTGGATCGTCGACGGTTAAGTGCACTCGATCATCGCCCTGTTTGTTCGTTAACGCGGTGAGCCCTGTTGACTGGAATGAAAGAGCCTCTACCCTTCGTACGCGCACCATTCAGCGAGCTATCAATTCCAAAGCCCAGAGAATATCAACAGGCAAGAGGAGCTTTTTGCTTGTCGCTGTTCTCATGATGCGGGTTTGAGCGAGTTCGACGCATGTGATGTCGGGGGAAAACTCCAGGTGGCCCGTGGGCACGGCATTCATACCTCATGAGCCCCGGAGGCTAAAATTCCCGAACCTGAACGCCAACTAGCAGGTATCTCAACCTCAACCATTTGATTTTCATTCGCAAAAGTCTGTTTCTGTACAAGATGATATCACGTGTCCCTGGATCTCACATCTTGGCCTTGGTGTGATGTTTTCATTCTGTTTTCATCGAGTGTCTACACAGACCAACAGCCTGCAGCACTTCAACCACGGTTAGCTGTTCCATGATTGGCCAACTGCCCTTTGAAAAGGTACACTGCACTGGAACCTCATAATTCATCATCATTCGTCACCCTTTCCCCTGGGCCAGAAAAGTATTTCTATCCGGACCCCCTCCCACATCCGAGGTCATGGTTACATTCCCACACTCAATCGCCTGTGCAGTCTTGGCGGGGTGTGTGCGTGCACACACACACACACACACCGCATTTGACAAATCTAGCCATTTGACATCGCTTTACACGACTCAACTCAATCGTTTAATATTGAAATTTAGCCAAAACTAGTATAAAAAATTGATATTTTAATACTCTACATCGTACAATTATTTATTTTAATATTTATATTATCTTTTAAACTGTTATCGATATAGTACACTACTCTAATACTTACTAGAAAGTATTAATAATAATAATACTAGTAAATAACGAATATCCTAATAACGTCGTTAAGACTATTAGTATAAGCGTAAAAAGTATATAGAAATATAAGTATATTCTATCGGATATTAGTAAGGTATTTCTACTATTACGAATTTTTCAAAATACTAGAAAGCTTCTTATATAGGCGTTTAAGGTATAACGTATATTATATTACTCCCTATACTTTATTAATTATAATTAATATTATAAAGGAAATTATAAACTTCTTTATATTAAAACCCAATTTATACTTCGACGAAATCTATACCTTTTTAGTTAATTAGTATAATATATATATTTCGACCGAGATTGTATAGTAGTACCTTCAATAGGAGAAGTGGAAGAAGAAGCGACTCTATATAAAGGTATTATAATAACCCTTTATATTAGTAGCTAAATAAATATTAAAAATCTTTTTATTTACTATAAAAATATTTATATTCTATAACGAATCTAATATAAATCGAAGGGATAACGTTCGTTATACTAGTTAAATACCCTATAGCGTTATTACGATAGTATTAAATAAGTTTATTTATAGTATATAATATTACCTCCTTCTAACTATTATAATAAATAGACTATTCAATATACTAGTATTTAAAAGTATAACGGACTTAGCCGGGGTCTGGGATTAAATAGTAAAATGCTTATTCCCTAAAATAAATCTATTTCCCGGTTGTAATAGTATTTTAGTAATATATAATATTAATTAATACTTTTATACTAAACTCCAGTACGCGTATAATTAGAAGGAGGTTTTATTATAATATTTATTACTATACTCTCCTAAATTCAATCCTATTAAAATATACTTTAGTAATTTCAAGCGGTAGTTTAAAAGGGTATATTATAATAAGGTTAGTAATAAAATATTAGATAACGACTTTACTACGTTTCTTAAACGATTAGTATAGGACGTAGGGTATAGAATATAGTAGATTTATAATTATTTTAAGAATATAAAGCTGGTAATAAATCGATTTAATAATATTAATAAAGAGTATAGGGAGTTATATACTAATAAACTAGTTAAATATAGAAAAATAGGTACTATATTTAGGCGGCGGTAGAGAATATAGAAGGGAGAGATAGATTTTTATATATTAAATTGAATTGTATATTAGAAATGTTAGAAATATTAGGAATACTAGAAGTATTAAAAGTGCCAAAAATCGTATTTATTTATATAATAATACCAAAATGCTAGAAACCCCCCTCTTTCGCTATAAATCGACTCGTAATATCGTTATCCCTCGTTAGGACCGCTAATAATAGTACTGCCCGCTATAGAAGCGAGAATTTTAATAACGCTATATTCGAATATAGTATTAAACCGGGGGTTTAAAATATATATTAATTAATTAAATTATAGTAATAGGGGTTAGAAGGTATACTTACTATAATTTAATTATATTACTAGTACTACGTACTTAATTTTAAGGAAGTTTTTAATACCGTCCCTAAATACCGTATAAAGGTCGTAGTTAAACCCTAACCTCGTAAATTACTCTACCAGTTATTCTTTGAGTATAAGTATATTAGGCAGTGCCTTTTTATTTTAGAATCTATTCCTTAAAGCGATTAGAACTCTATATACTAATACTACTTTAATTAACGTTCTAATATAATAACGCTTATAGAACGCTTTAAAGAATTCGGTAATAATCTTTTTAGCTGGCTGATTAAGTAGGGCGGAGGGTAGCAGTAATAAATAAAAATTAAGAATTGAAGGTACGGGCGGATATAGTATAAATAATTCTCTAGCTTCTATTAGGGATTCTCTAATTTCTTTACCTTCGTTCTCCTTGTCCGTTACTAACGGTAGTACGATTAATAATAGTATAGGTAATTAAATAAAGACTATAATCGCTATAAAAATAAGAGGAGGATTAGTATTAGTATACTTAATAATAAAAGTCTTACGGTCGGTCGGGTGCCTATAGAATACGGTAGTAAAATAATTTAAAGGTATATATAAATTGATAGTTACCGTTTTGCCTAGTAGGAGGAGAGTGCCTACTATATTATAATTATAATTGCTTATAATTATTAAATTAATTATAGAGCCGCCAGCGGTATAAGGAAGAAGTAACTAGACTTAAGGAAATTAAAAGTAAGGAGGGAAATATTAGTAGGGTAATAGGTATAGTAAATATAGGAGAGGAGGGTATAGTTAATATAGACTTCTAAAATTATCCCTCCTTGATATAGTTTATAATAGACTATTTATAGTCTCTATATTAGTACTACTATTATTACTATTAATATTATTAATAATATTAATATTAATTGGTAGACTATTACCTCCTCCCTTATATTTACTACCGTTACTAGTATTAGAGACGGTTACTACCTTATTACCTAATATCTCTTATAATAAATTATTAGGTAGGTTAGCTACTATAGCCTTCCCCAACGAGATTGCGTATGCCTACTTACTTATATTTTTAATATTAAGGTTATAATAGGTTATATTCCTATTAATAATATAGTATATCTAATATTTAATAGCCTTATTATAATTCTTATACTTATAACCAAAATCGTACGCTTATATTTATATTAGTTCCTAATATATAGTACTGTATAGTTTTACCCCTATACGCTCCTCTCGCTACCGGTCCTCCTTTAAATTCTTTTTAACTTTTACTAGTATAATATTTATTATAACGCGCTTAGACTTCTTAGTACCGGCTAGAGTTTATAACCTTCGTAATGATAGTGTATCGGTTACTTATAGGGTAATAAAGAGATTAATTAAATTACGAGATAGGGTAGGAGTAGAGGGTATATTACTATAGGAGGATAGAGTAGTAGGGATTTTATTAGCGGGCGGGTTGGTTAATTAAAATTTAAATAATATAGTAAAATAGTAATTCTAACTAATATAGTAGAGGTATAATTTTATAATAGTTTTATATTTAAAATTACTATACCTATTAAAAAACTCCTTCCTAGGGATAATTTTATAATAGATAATAACCTGGGTATGGTAGTTATTATAGGTAGCGGCGGTATAGGTAATATTGTACAAAGAAACTAATTATTTTATCTTTACAACTATATTATTATTAATAATATTTTATATATAATTTTATTATAAATATTTAATTTCCTTAAGTAGTATTGTCCTAAATTATTATTTATAAAGTTCGCTATTATTTTATTCAATTTTAACCTCTCTGAATAAATTATAGTCTTCGATAGGGGGTAGTTTATTATAATTAGTAGTAATATATAAACCGATTATATTAAATTAAATTTATATTGATTTAGGGTATTTAGGACGTAGCAATAGTATTAGAATAGCCGGCTTATAGATAGTGCGGG